CATTTCTTCTAAAGGGAGATTCAGAAAGAAAATCCCTGACCGACTTCCCCCGTCGCTCTTGTGTCGTTCGTGGCACAGAGTGAAGGAGCAGGGATGCTCCCGCAGTCCTGTCGCAGAGGGAGAAAGCGAAGGGCTCTGTCGCTTGCAGCCGGTCGTTTTTCAGGGGTCGTGACTACGAGGCAGAAATCCGAGTTGGGTCCGAAGGGAGGGAGGAAGGGATGCAGGGAGGGTCACTCCACTGAGCCTTTCCCACGGTCGCTCCACCACCTCCTTAACACCAGGATACCGAAACACCCGTGGCGAGGTAAGAAACCGTGTCAGTTACTGGTTCCTGGGAACCATTATAACTGCGGGGTCGCGAAGGTGCAGAAACCACTCCTCCCAGCTGGGCATGAGAAGCGTTTCATTTGTAAGGCTGAAGCCTGGTGATCTTCCTGCCAAGAATTTCCTTGGACATGTATTTTTATGTGCAATTAAACCCAAAAATCCCCAGAATTGACATAATCAGAATCACAGATGTATTAAAACTACGTGGGCATACCAAGCACAGGATGCACACACGGCCTTTTAATGTCATTTGTACGACACATATACGTGTGTGTGTTTCCTCTTCCCAGAAGGCCGCTTTCGACCTTGTGCAAACAAAGGCTATCTCTCTGGTCATGCTCTCAGCTGCACTGGTGAACAGTTTGCCTGTTCCCTCCAGTGTTTTGAATTTTGCTAGGCAGTATCAGTTCAGTGATTCCAAGGAAAGCAAAGAAGAGATGAAATCATGACAGTCAGAAGAGATAAGTTGTACTAACCCGCAAAATAAATGAAAGGAATTAGACGGGAAATGTGCCTTTTGAATCAGGATCACAAATAATTTAAAAGATTAATTACCTCCCCTTTCTTTCTTTTTCTTTTCTCTCTTTGCATGTGTTTTAATCTGACATTCACGCAGTGAATAAAACTTGCTTAGGCCTCTGTCTGCCAATCGAGAGCTGATTCTGTTTTCACAGTTGCTTTAAATTTTGCATTTTCATCATAAAAACATCACTGAATGGGAATTTGCAAGAGTAAAAACCAGGGCACCTGACACTAGTTGTCTCTTCCTGCAAGATTTACAAGGGAAACACAGATTTTTTTGGTATTTTTAAATTTTTTTTTTTAACCATTTCCAGTTACTGGAGAAAATGTAAAGATGTCTTGGCACATCTCTCGCTCTCTTTTTTCCCCCTTTGCATTCCAGTCATTCTTTTTCTGCCCATAAACTGTTACTACTCCGCAAGAGCCTGATTCTGCACAGCCTACTCAGCCCGTTTTTTTGTTGGATGCAGGAAGAAATCTTGTCAGATGGGGTCTTCAGTGTACGTTGATGAAATAGAGCAAAAGCCTCTCTCAGAATGTGCACTGGAACAGCAAATAGTTACTTTTCAGCTGTGGATTACATGTGCCTCTGAAAAGGGGACCACAAATCATTGGGTTTTTAAAGGTTCCGCATGAGTTGTATATTAATCCCAGTTTCCCTAGGGATGGATTAATCCCAGCTTCCCAGTTGTGTGGCTACAGACAATGTTGATGGGGTTGGGGGCAGGGGAGAAGGGAGATGGGGAAAGGAGAGGGAAATTAAAAAGATATATCACAGGAATACACGGCCTAAGTGGCGAGGAGCCATACATACTTAAGTTTCAATACCTCTTCTACCTCTGTCACCACATGTGAGCGGAAGCAAATCACTTCAGCTCCCTGTTTGGGTTTCTTCATCTGTAAATTGGGGATAATGCTGCTGCTTTTGCTCCCAAGAGGCCTGGCACACTCATGTAGAAACTCCTGCTCAGCCCTCAGTAGTGAAAGGAGATATTCCGATTCGTACCTGGGCAGCTGAAAGCAGTGGCTGATCTGGGAGATCTAATGGAGTGTGCAAGACAAATTTATACTCACGTGTAATTCTTTTTCAGCCCTGGCAGTTTTGTTGAGAGATGGAGTCCTAGAGCCCAGCATGCATTTCTTCTCTACATTCCTATCCAATGACTAAACAGGAGGAATGGCATGGGCCAAATTCATCCCTGGTGGGACTCCAATGACATCAGTCATCTTTATAGGAGTTTTTTGAATCAAGTCAATTGGGTTTTACGAGGATTGAGTTTGGCCACATGCATATTTAACTGCTCAGAGAGCTGCAGCAGTGAAGGAAGCTTTCCTTGCCTTAGAAAGAATCACTTCTGAGTCTGGGAGACACAAGCTAAGGCAATGACCTGTTTTACACAGTCAGGTTTACCTTATTTAAACTCAAGGAGCCGCTGAAGTGTGCTCAGCATCCAGCAGAACTTTAAAAAAAAACCCAAACACCCAGCTGCCCCCAAATGTTCATAGCTTTCGACGAAAGTTTGTATTTGTCCGTACCGCTCAGTGCAGCACCGTGCCATG